AGCAGCAGCAGCAGGAGACCAGTCCCCAGCAACAGCAGCAGGGCGAGGATGGATCTCCCCAAGCCCAGAGCAGAGGCCCCACAGGCTACCTGGCCCTGGAGGAGGAACAGCAGCCTTTACAACAACAGTCAGCCCCTGAGGGTCACCCGGAGAGTGGCTGCATCCCGGAGCACCGAGTCCCCTCGGCTACAGGCAAGGGGCTGCAGCAGCAGCCTCCAGCACCTCCAGACGAGGATGACTCAGCTGCCCCATCCACGTTGTCGCTGCTGGGCCCCACTTTCCCAGGCTTAAGCAGCTGCTCCGCCGATCTTAAAGACATCCTGAGTGAGGCCGGTACCATGCAACTCCTTCAGCAGCAGCAGCAACAGCAGCAGCAGCAGGAGGTGGTATCTGAAGGCAGCAGCAGCGGAAGAGCGAGGGAAGCCCCTGGGGCTCCAAACTCTTCCAAGGACAGTTACCTAGGGGGCAGTTCTACCATCTCGGACAGTGCTAAGGAGTTGTGTAAGGCAGTGTCGGTGTCCATGGGCTTGGGTGTGGAGGCATTGGAGCATCTGAGTCCTGGAGAACAGCTTCGAGGGGATTGCATGTATGCTCCGCTCCTGGGAGGTCCACCCTCTGTGCGTCCTACTCCTTGCGCGCAGCTGGCAGAATGCAAAGGTTCTCTGCTGGATGACTGCCCCGGCAAGGGCACTGAAGAGACTTCTGAGTATTCCCCATTCAAGGCAGGTTACCCCAAAGGGCTGGAAGGTGAAAACCTGGGCTGCTCTGGCAGCGGTGATACGGTAGTCTCTGGAGCACTTGAGCTGCCATCCACCCTGTCTCTCTACAAGTCTGGAGCACTGGAAGAGGCAGCGGCTTATCAGAGTCGCGACTACTACAACTTTCCACTAGCCCTGGCCGGACCGCCCCCACCTCCGCCGCCTCCCCATCCTCAAGCCCGCATCAAGCTGGAGAACTCGCTGGACTATGGCAGCTCCTGGGCAGCCGCGGCAGCGGCTCAGTGTCGCTACGGGGATCTGGCAAGCCTGCACGGCGGGGGTGCAGCGGGATCCAGCTCAGGCTCACCCTCAGCCGCTACCTCCTCTTCCTGGCACACTCTCTTCACAGCCGAAGAAAGCCAGCTGTATGGGCCCTGCGGCGGTGGTGGTGGTGGTGGCAGCACAGGCGAGGCAGGGACTGTAGCCCCCTTTGGCTACACTCGGCCACCTCAGGGTCTGGCTGGCCAAGAAGGCGAATTCCCCCCATCTGATGTGTGGTATCCCGGCGGCGTGGTGAGCAGAGTTCCCTATTCAAGTCCCAGTTGTGTCAAAAGCGAGATGAGTCCCTGGATGGAGGGCTACTCTGGATCTTATGGGGACATGCGGTAAGTTTCTCCGTTTAGAAATGTCTTTCATCTTTGAGTCAGTCTGCGTTCTTGGGTATATATTTTACCCCCCGCATGAACATTCTGCTGCTCTGAATCAGGAGCTTTACTTGAACTCCAGGCCTATCTAAGATTTTTACCTTAGTGCTCTGAACCCCCACTCGGAGCCCCAATCACTGCCTTTAAGCCCTTGCTGTTGGTTCTTGCCCTTTCAGATTCCCAGACAATTCTCCACTCCCAGCCTCCTAAAATCCTCACTGCCTCCCCAGGGCTCCAAACTTAAATCCAGTTGCAAGGGCCACAGTCAGAAATAAAGTCCTTAAGCCCTCAACTAATTTTTCTCCTCCACTCCCCCAAATCTGTAAACATGGACAAAATATGACCAGTTTCTGCTCCTAGAGTCTGTTACAGTTTGCCCTCCAGCCTGTGGCCGATCTTGGCAGGTTAGAGGCAAAAAGAGTGGCCAGAATATTTCTCAGCCCGCCTCCTTCAAAGACATAAAATGGAGTGTGGTATTACGAGAAGATGGTCTCTGAGTTCTAAAAACTCTGTGAAGAAAGGGTGAAATTCCTTCCTTGGCAACAATTAAGGACTTGCCCTAATATTGGAGGTCAGTACAGAGAATCCAACCAGGCAGGATTAGCGAGCAGGAAAAGGTAGAGGAAAACCAAAGGACAACTTTCTTAGTGAACATTGGGCAGGATTTGCCCTAACAGATTAACTATGTTGGAAGTAGCTGCTTGGGTTGTTTTTTTCTTGTGGATTATAACAAGTCCGTAGTCCTCTCCTTCAGGTTTGCATCAGATCTATAAAGAGGAGAATGTTCTTTTAGTAAATAATTTAACCAGACTTGAGTCTGATTTATAAAAGTGTTGAAAAAAGTTTTAAAGGATTCCCTACTATTCCAGTGTACTCAGAAATATGCTTTC